ACATTCCTGGTCAGCTCCTGGATCTCGATCTTGGTGTTGCGCAGGCTGTCCCCATGCCTTCCAGCAGTGCTCTGCAGCTCCTCATACTGATGGCACAGGCATAGAAAACCATCCATGAGGAAGCCCACCCACAACCCAAAAGTCCCCTGGCTCCATGGCACGGAGACATCCAGCAGCAAGGGGCCATCCCAGCTGCCACGACTCTGCCCAGCTCACCCGGCTCTGGTACCAAGCCTCAGCTTCAGCTCTGCTGTTCTGGGCAATCTGCTCGTACTGCCGTCTGACCTCCTCAATGATGCTGTCCATGTCCAGGTGCCGGTTGTTGTCCATCGACACCACCACAGACAAGTCCCTGCTGATTGTCTGCATCTGAGACAGTTCCTGCAACCAACACGGGGACAAACCTGAGCACGGGAGCAGAGGAGGCCAAGGGATGCTCCGCACACATCCCCCATGGGCACCCATCCACTGCAGGGTCCTGAGCCACATTTCCGCTCCTCACCCTTGCTCCAGCCCAGCCCAGGAAAGGCTCCTACCTCCTCATAGATGCACCTCAGGAAGCTGATCTCATCAGTCAGAGCTCCCACCTTGGCCTCCAACTCCACCTTGGTCATGTAGGCACAGTCCACATCCTATAGGAAAAATCACATTCTAGACCATGGCTTCTTCCCACCCTATTAGCAGCCAGCAAGCATTGTCTCCAACCAGAAATTTTCTGTCCCACATCTGTCTCCTCCCAACCTCCTGCCATCCTGTTCCCTGCACTCACCTTCTTCAGCACCACAAACTCATTCTCAGCAGCAGTGCGCCTGTTGATCTCTTCCTCATACCTGTGGAAGAGGACAAGCCAGGTGAGGCTCCTGCATGGCTCATCAAGTAGCGGTGCTCCCTCCTCTTTCCTCCACAGAACCCCTCTCACACTCCTGGTGAGCTCCTGGAGCAACTGGCAGACACCAGAGACCTGCATGCCGCCCCAGCTCTCCTGCCTTGCTGCTCACTCCATCTCTGCACTTACTTGGTTTTGTACTCCTCCACGTATTGCCGCATGTTCTGCAGCTCGGATTCCAGCTCTCCCCTCTGTCCCAGCAGAGACTCCAACCTCCTCCTTAGGCCCTGGATGTAATTCTCAAAGATGACATCCAGGTTCTTCCTGGGTCCTGAAGGCCCTTGCTGCTGCAGGAGCTCCCACTTGGTGGAGAGAACCTTGTTCTGCTGCTCCAAGAAGCGCACCTGAAAGCCCACAGGGGGTTGTGTGAGACTTTCACCTTGGGATCTCACAATGCATCACTCTTCTCAAATCTACTTCTTTTGAAGGCCAAGAGAATCATTTCTCAAATGACCAACAGAACCATGACTTTTAAAGCCTCTTTTCTAAGAGAATGTTTCCTCCCTTCTTTCTCCTCTTTTCCTTCGATTATACATTAATTTGATTTCTTTTCTACTACATTTTTTCTCTTTTGTTGAATATCAATAATAATATGTAGATTCCAGGTCAACAGACTACTTCTATTTCCAAATTTTTTCAAGCATTAATTTACTGAAGTATTAGATTTTTTAACTTTTGCATTCTAGTGAATCAACTCTCATGTTCCTCTATATGGGAGAACACTCATCTTAGAAAATACATGAGGAATTTCCAGTTCATGTTCTCCAATTGCAAAGAACTCGAAGAACATTGATCTGTATGTGAAGCAAATTAAGTAATTGACAATTATTAATTGAAATTTCATTCCTACGCTTCTTGTTCATTGAGAAGAAAGAGGACTGGCTTGAAGAACTGCTGAGGATAACTGAGTACCCTGTGATCACTTTCGCCTGTCTCCTCAGAGAAAGATAGAGATGGAAAGTAAGAAAGGATTTGGATCAAACAGAACTAGAGAAGGACCTTTGATCTCCCTGCAGAAGAAAAATGTTCACATTTCTCTAGGAGGACTCAATGAGAAGAACAATGCTTGCTTTCCAGACCTTCCAACCTGGAGCTGAGAAGCATACTTCCCTCTTCCCAGCCCAAAAGATTTCCCCAGAGTCCCCATTCCCAGAGAGATGTAGTTTCAGCCTCTCACCTTGTCAATGAAGGAGGCAAACTGGTTGTTCAGAGTCTTGATCTGCTCCTTCTCCTGGCACTTCACTTGTTGGATCTGAGGGTCAATGTCAACATGGACCGGCCGCAGGAGGGTTGGGTCAACCTGCACCGGTTGGATGCCTCCAGGGAACCCAGGACCACCTCTCACAGGGCCACCAAAGCTGCCTACTCCTCCACCAATTACACCTCCTCCAATGCTGCCAAATCCTCCTCCATAGCCTCCACCAAGGCCAACAATTCTACATCCGTATCCTCCGCCATAAGAGCCACCCATGGAAATCCTTCCGCTGCCACCCATGTTGTGGAGGCTCCTGCTGCTGAAACCTCCACAGCGTCCGCCGCCTCCAGTTCCCCGGGATGTGGAGAACGAGCTGTAGCTGATCCTGCTTCTGCCCCCACTTCCTCCAAAGCCACCACCAATGGCAGAGCAAGAGCTGTAGCCCCTTCTGCTGCCACCTCCAAAGCTTCTGCAGACAGACTGCCGGGACATGGCTGCTTCTTCCAAGAGGAGTTGAGCAGAGTAGGAAGACCAACGGAGCTGTGCTGCTGGGGACGGATGCGGAGAGAAGTGTGCACAGTCTTCTCTGGCTCCACGGCTCCAGGCATTCCCTTTTATCTGTTTCTAGAGGTGGGCTGGGTCTACATGGGTGTGAAGAGGAAACAAATTTACTGTCTTCATCAGCTTGGTGCGGTTAACAGATTTTTGCCAAATTGTTGACTCCACCCAGAAATACGCTTTGCGATGCAGAAGAGAATAAAAGAGCAAGAGCATTGGAATAGGACTCAGTGAGTAAGTGGACTCTCATATCTTTCTGTCATCTGGAAAAATATGTTTTACAGTGATGTAGTCATGTTCTTCCCTCCTCCCACCTTTCTAGCTGTTCTTAACAATTTCTCGGTTTATCTTGATTCGGATCTTTTGCATTGAGGTTCAGTGTCAGACAAGCATTTTGGTGGAAATCAGCAAGAGTGAGGCTTTCACAATTCCCCCAAGCACACCCCGAATCTCCTACTTATGTGGAAAACTGCTGATGGTTTTTCAAGAAGCAGTTTCGTGGTGTAAAGCAAGAATACCACACATTAACATTTGACAACGGTCAGCATTTCTTTATTATCCAGAAAGGAGGTGCTTAGTTCTGCTCCAAAGAGCAGGCTGATCCCCATCGCTGGGGATGGGAGTGCCTTCTCCAGGGGAAAACTCCGGGAGAGCATTTCTTCCAGCTGAGTACCAAGACACCAAGAACCTGAGCAGAAGGAAGAAGAGAATGGGGATGACCAAGCTCCTCCCGTTTGCTTTTCTGATGGACACAAGGACTGCTGAACCCGGAGAGAAATGGAAGGACCCTTCCAGCGCTGTAAGTGGTAATAAAGAACGAAGAAAGAAATACAGCAGAAAAATACAGGCAGGGAAAACCACGACTTGAGAAAGTAGTATTTTTTAGTTAAATTGGCAGACAAAGGATCAGGCTGAGATTATTATATCTGATCATTCCTAAAGAAGGGGCAACAAGAAGTTTGAAGAAGCTCGGATGCCTTCAGAAGTAGAGTTACGGTATCGCGGTGTATATGATGCATGTTTTAAGAGCTACAGCAAAGACATGTAAGAACACGTGAATCTTTGTAGGAAGACTAAATTTACTTTAGAGAAATGTATTTTTCAGACACAAGCAGCTGCTTCAAAGTATCTGGCTCTGAAATAGGAAGTTCATTTGATAGACATTGTTCAGATGCCTTCGGGGTATCATTTTAGTCATGAGTATAATCTTCAAGAAAAACAAAATCCCTAATGCTTAACTCTAAAAAAAATCAATAGATGCCAAAGGAAATACATTATGCAGCACTCTGATCATTTCAGTCTTCCAAGAATACACTGTATATGAGCTTCCAATGTGGAATAAACATCTTATGTTTGAACTTTCAGGATCTCTCATAAGACATGGGCAACAAAGTGCTGTTTGAAAATATCACTGGTATCAGCCTTCAGCCACAGGCACTTCAAAGAAACAACCCACAGAGCAGCTACAGGAATCAGAGATGTAAATGCTTCTGGCTGTCACTGGGATGGAGGATGCTGGGCACCAATCTCTTCACACAACAGGACATGGGAGAGTGGGGAATGTCACACCCAAGGGACTCAAGCAATGTTGGACAAGGTTCTCCAGGTGTCTGCAGCTCGCCCAGTGCCACAGGCTGCAGCTGGAGAACGGGCACCATCCCAACACTGGGACAGGGACACTTTGCCTTGCAAGAGAATGGCCTTCGTCCTTGGCTGGTGTCCCCAGGAAAGATAAGGACAATCCCAGAGAAACGAAGGGGAGCTGGGGTTTTGTTGGAGAAAAGCAGGTTGTATCTGCTCATGGCCTCCCTCCGTGCTGGCAAATACCACTGCGAGATGCTTTTCTCGGGAGGCAGCACGAGCTGCTTGTAACATCCCACACGGCAGCTCCACAAGTGGGAGAAACGTGCTCACTCAGCCAAATGCCTGGGTGCTGACCACGCTCAGCTCCTCCAGATAAGACGCCCAGATTGAGTCACTCTGACGTCTCCAGACAAGATGGGAAGATTATAGCAGAGCTGGAGTCGCATCAGCCTCCTCCAGGTGAAACTCGATAGGCAGCCTGGGCTCCAGCAATCCCTTGCGATCTCTTACACAAGGAGCCGTGCGCAGCACAATTGTCCACGCAAAGCAAAGCCCAGACTTGGCTGAGAAGCTGATGCTGAGCCCAGCTGCAGAGCTCTCCAAGAGGCAGCTTTGGGTCCTGATTCTGCACAGCCAGCAGGTCCTGGCACAAAGCTCTGGAGGCAGCACAGGCAGAGATGCCACCAGGATTCCTCACTCACATGGTGAGACTGAGAAGAAACAGAGCTAAAATTAGGCACCAAAGCCGCTGACTCTTCACCAAGCCAAACCCAAAGCACTCTTGGCAAGGGCCCAGCTGCTCAGAGGCGTTGCTTTCCCATCCTCTTATTCTGGGGACAAACAGAGCTGTGTTCTCCAACTCCCCCGCTGCTCCAAGGGACGAGGAGGCCTCTCCAAAGACCCCACAGCCCTTTCCCGTGGCCCGGAGTTGGTCTTATCAGAGGGCTGCACTTCCTGACCCACTATGGGGACACAGCAGCTCGCAGCGAGTTGCTTTGGGACTCCCACACCACTACTGAGAGCGGTTGCTGTCTCTTTGATCTCTGCGTGCGATGCAGGAGCTGAAGCTCAGCTCAGATCTAACACATCAGCATTCTGCCCACCTTGCTCCCCATGCCCTCCAGCTAGAGACCAGCTCTTCCAGTCACTCTCACTATAAAGCAAACACACCGAGAGACTGGTCCAACTTCTCAGGCACCCCATTGGGATGAGATGCCCATGGGTCAGGACGGACCGCCCCTCTCCAGTCCCTCATCTTCCCACTGCTGGTAAGTGGAGAGCAGGAGGAGCTGCTGGTCTCTAACACTACTGATCCTCATGGCTGCTGACCTTGCTCTGCAGATTGCTCCAGGTCAGCATTCACATCCATGCTCGCTGGCAGCTGCTGCCTACAGGACTCTTTCTGTTCCCATCTTTCCCTACCACATAGTAGAGTCCACTCCAGGGCAGCGCCTTCAGATGCAGCCACAACAGCAGGGTGATCTGATGTCTGCTCCCTCCCCATCGCTGTCTTTTTCCATCACAATCACTGTGTTTGGTCTCTGGTGGTTTAGCCACTACTCTGTGCCAGCATTTGTGCACTAGGAGAATAGTTTTTTGTTTCTGATTTCTGCATACCATTTACATGTCTTCTTCCTGATGATTATGAAGACAAAGAGACAAATAAACTCCTTTCTTAGGTCTGCTTTAGTTTCTGCATCATCAGAACACTGTGGTGAGCTGTGACATGAGTAGAACCATAATGAGTGCATTACTCTGCATAAGGACTGAGCCCTAGATTATGGCACGGATAAATCCATTGTCTCTGAGTAGTTTAAAGACACAATAAGTGATGACACCTGATCTGGAAATTATGATTCCCAGGTTAGGATTATATGAGGATCTTACCCACATTTCCCCAGACTCCAGCACTTCTCCATTCTGGGCTCCCTGGCTGCACCCATCTACTGCTCATTCAAGGAGAGAGCATGCAGAGCCCCTCCTATGTGGCCCTGTGATTTCAGGCGGCGCTATGACACGTAGAAGTCAAAGGGAATTGAATCACTGAATCATAGAATACCTTGATCTAGGAGGAACCCAAACCCCTGCCACCACACAAACCCAAACCCAAAGTTTTGAGAGCTCCAGTAGCTCAGGGCAACCAAGCTGCTTCCCCAGAGCAATAGTCATTCTACCAGGAAGTGATGACAACAAGACATAGTGAATGTTCTCTGCAATTTATTGAGAATGGCAACATCCCAAGGACATACCACAAACAGAAGAAGAAGGGAGGTGGGGACAATACATCTTGTTCCATGTCACCAGGGGCCTGGCACAGAAAAGCAAGCTCGGTTCTGTTTAGAAAAAGTCCTCTGGGCACCTGCAGCCACAGAAGGAGTCCCGTCTGCCCCTCATGTGCCACAACCCATGACACAAGTGAATGGAAGCAACAGGATGTACTGCATGCAGAAGCACCCCAGGGCTACGGCCATCAGGACAGAGGAAGAAAGAGTGGTTTTATACACGTTTGCCACAGGGCAGCCAGAAATGTACAATGCAGCAAGGAAGGCAGAGCGGTTCCTCCTTGAAATCAGCTCTCCGTACGGGGTATCCACGTGTGAGACTTTGCTCGGGCTGCTATTTCTTCACTGAGTAGGAGGCTGTGGAGCAGTGTGTCCCGGCCACCAGGCTCCCATGCTGGGAACAAGCCAGGTAGACCAGCTGGCTCATGCTGGCCATGAGGGACACAGTTTGTTTCATGGTGGGCTACCGGAGATGGATTTAAGGAGGCTGCGCTGCTGCGGGGGGAAGGGAGGACATGCTTTGTTTCTTTCTCAGTCGGCCTTCAGGGCTCAGAACCTCACTCCTGAAGACTTGACAGAGGTGGTTGTGACGCATCTCCGTATGGAGGAGGATCCCCCACTGGAGCTGAAGTTGCCACCCCCAGAGCCGCAAATCCTTCCACTTCCAGAGGAGAAGCCTGCGCTGTACATTCCTCCTCCCATTCCACAGCTGCCGCCAGAGCTTCCACCTCCAAAGCCTCCTCCTGAGCCACACACTCCTCCCATTCCTCCTCCCATGCCGCTGCCTCCGAATCCTCCTCCCATGCCGCTGCCTCCAAATCCTCCACCCATTCCGCTGCCTCCAAATCCTCCTCCCATGCCTCCTCTTCCTCCGGAGATGGTGGTCCTGCCTACCACAGCTGGAAGAGATATAGTGGTTATAAATGGGCCAGTGGGAAGATTTTTTTCAGTTGAGATGCAACCTGCCGGTGCTTTGCAGATACTTACAGACATTGACGTTGGACATCCCATCGTTGCACAGCCTGTGAGAGGAAACAGAAAGGGTTAATCTTTGGGGGCATAATAGCTTTTTTGGCTAACAATACTCCTAGCTATATTCTCTAGCTATATGTTCCCTCTTCTTTTTGATTTTCACAACTGTACTTGTGCCATTATAAGAAAAGTGGAAAACATTTGTGTTTCTGGCTAAGAATTGCATTGAATGTAATATATAAGGTTTATCTCCAGAGGGATATGTAAAGACCTCATCTTCACATGGACTGTCAAGAAAGGTTAAGAAGACGCAAATAAAGGATAGTACCTGTTCTCCTCTCCCTCCAGCAGCTTCCTGTACATGGCAATCTCCACATCCAGGGCAATCTTGACGTTCAGCAGCTCCTGGTATTCCTTCAGCAGGCGAGCCAGGTCCTCCTTGTCCTTGCTCAGAGCAGTTTCCAGCTCTTCCAGTTTCACCCTGGCATCCTTCAGGGCCATCTCACCCCTCTCCTCTGCCTCAGCAATAGCTGCCTGCAGCTGCTGGTTCTGAGGAAGGAGAAGGGCACTCCCTCAGAACACACTTCATTCTTTAACAAAAGCCTTCAAACACAACTTGAATGATCAAGGATAAAAGACAACACTGAACAAAGTCAATA